AGCACAATGGGCAGAGACCAGACCACAACACCGGGAACTTCGTGCCCTGCTCTTTACGATTAGTGTGTGGGTTCTTTAACGTCCCCTGCTGACCATAACTGTGAAGATGCAGGAGACGGGGCCTACGGTTTATCGTCCTTATCCGAGAAGACTAGAATATCTAACCATTTGAAGATATCAATGCAAAGGAAGCATATTCTCCTCAGTTATTTTAAGACCCTGAGTGTTGGTCCGGTCTGGGGCTCGAACCCGAGACCTCCCGCATGGTAGTCCGACGCTCTACCAACTGAGCTAATCGGTCGAAAGGTTTTTAATGATTTATTTCTGGTGTCAAACTAGTATAAACTGTTGCCGCAACAAGTATTTTGTTATCCCAGTTTAGATCTACAATTGTAGTATCCCCCAACTAGGATATTTTACAAGTTTTATGATCAAGCATACACGTAAGCCATTCATGTTCAGTAAGCATGCAGCTTTCTGTCATGATTCTGATAATCTCCAAAATTAAGGTTGCTGAGTATGAATTTGTTTTATCAGTTCTTAAAATTCCAGAGTATTTAATTTTGGCGTCCTCTTTTTAAATTACAAAAAATAGCTTCACCTAACCGTGAGATGAAACTGCTCAAGCTTTGATTGATCTACGATGTACGTGCAAGAAAACTCTTACTTGAAAATGAAATCCTACGGATTCAAGACGAAGCATTTTTTCTTAAACGTCTACATAAAATTAGCCTAAAAATTACAAAAAGAAAAATCCCTGGTATTCTTTGGCACGAATAGCGTTGTCGTGGGAGAAACAAAACTATTAAATGTCTTCTAATTTTTAGTTTATAAACATAATAGAATGTGACCGTAATAACAAAGTTCAATAAAATGACAATGCTTGAACAAGCGGAGTTATCTGTGTGCAGTGAAATATTATTATTCCTCCCCCTCCAAACTTCTCCTACGTACTTCAAATTCAAGAAATGGTTTCTGCCCTTGCGGTTTGGAATGTAACGAGAACAATTCACGTAGAACAACTAACAAGTATGACTTAGTGTTTCAGGAAATCACTTGAACACCAGTCAGTAGAAAACGGAGGGGAAAAATTCCATCACAAAAGCTACCGGATTAGGGATTATCCCTCGAAATTAAGGAATGTTGTTGGTGTGGGATCCTTCCCGTAATTTACAACAGACTGAAACTAACAACATGCAATAACCGGTTCAACCAGCATTCACCCTGTGAGCACCTTCTCTGACAGAAATGCTTTGCTAGCATGTTGAAAGTGTTACGTAAGCCAGGGGGACCGGCGAAGACATAACAGTGGGCGGACCTACAAGCAAATTTCCGAGCCCTGTTTTTGAAGTTATACAACTTTTAATTACATCCCTCCTGTAGTGTACTTGCTAGAAACTAACCACAAGCTTTAATCTCTGTTACCACTCGCACGAAAGCGTGCCACTCATTTCCGTTTGATGCTCTCCTATTTCCTGCACTCAGCATACTCTGCACCGCAAATGAGAACATGAAAACATTTTGCGGTCGTGAAAATATAAAAACATTGTCAGGGCCTCCAATGTCAGGTATCTGTGAAGAAGTTTTTGACATCTACTATGTTACGGAAGAATTACCAGTTTCCACTGGTCGCAACAAACACAACAACAACAAAAAAAAAATAATAGCGAAGTGATATTTATAGCAGTCACGGCCTTCTACAAATAAACTTGTCGAGTACCGGGACGATCGATCACGAACATACAGACACAGAAAATTGCGCATAAAACGGAGCTAATTGCAGCAAAAAACTTTAATAGCTAAATTGTGCCGATTCATGAGTGCTTGAACTACTCTACTTGCATGTACCTAAGAGGCAGAGCAAACTAACGTGCGAGACACGAAAAACAAAGGTACGGTTACGTTAACAAAATGCACGCAAGGAGGTGCTAGTTTCTGGAACCCTCATTTTTTTGGAACCTCCCGATAACTCGAACCAAAAACCGTTTCCCTCTCCTCAGTCGAACACTGTAATTTTACTCCCGATTTCTCGAACCATCCGATTTTTCAAACCGATTTTCGTGTCCCTTAGAGGTTCGAAAACCGGGATTTTACTGAATTTTAATATTATATAGCCGAAAGCTTTTCGTTTTTTTTTAAATTTCAGCTGAAGTGGCTTACTGCATTCTTTCTTATTCGGATGTTTTCATTTGTGTTTCGACCATCAATTCCATCGGATTATTCTGATTGTATAAGCTACAGGATTTGTACGCAGCATGAATTCATCTTGTGAAAATCTGCATCATAGTGCAGCGTTAAAATTATCTTAAGTCACTTATCTTTAAATTAGCTACCTGTCTTAAGTTTCTGGAAAGCAAGTTAACGCGCGGAAGCCGATTATATTTTTTAAGTGAAGTTAATGCCGGGTTTGATCAGTTGAGATTACAACATGGTGGAGAGCATTCCAAGAAGGTTCAGATGAGCGCTGGCTTGGTAAAGCTATCTAACCAGTCAGTCAGTCAGTCAGTCAGTCAGTCAGTCAGTCAGCCAGTCAGCCAGTCTAATTTTAACTAGAATGTAAATCGAGGAACGAGAATAAAAATTAAAAGATTGAAAATAAAAATTAAACATACAAAAATTGAAAGCCTTGGAATGCAGCGGCCATGTTTCGATGATGAGAGCCGGCTGAATTTTCAGCCTATGGTTTGGTTGGTTCACCTGATCTACTATTTGCCTATTTGAAGTTAGTTGTTTATCTATTTGAGTTTATTTGTTCTTGTATTTTGGTGACGAACTCATTGAACTAGACTTAACTGCTTTTCCTCAGAATGTTATATGTTAAACCTCTAAACTATGCCTTGGGTCACTTTTCCATCGAATAATATGAACAGCTTATAGGTTACTTAATTTCTAGTTTCATTTCAACATCAATGCCCAAGCTTTGCATAAACGCTGCATCGACTTGGAAGTACTCTGTTTAACAGGTATGGAACATTTTTCTTACCTTTATTGAGTTCAATTGGAATTCTACTCTAACCGGGCATCGTTCCGATCACAAAATGGCGGCTTTTCACGCGTCGACAACATTTTACTATTTTTGGTAGAAATATTTCTTGTTTATATTACTCAAATCCCTGTAGGACTAAACGAAGGATATTCACTGCTATGTGACTTGAAAACCTTAAAGCTATTGAACTGTAGAATTTGCTCACGATTTCTAGTTCATAACCTAGTTGTTATAAATAGAAACATGGCGAGAGGAAACGAAAAATGTTGTGCAAACACTAGCCCCACGCGAGTGTTACCGCGGCTTTTTCAAGTTCTCCCAAAC